TTTTTGACAAGTATTGAAGTCGAATGTAAAATATAGGAATCATTCCTTCAGTGAAAATTAATTCCAAGCGAAAATATTTTACAGTAGTGAATGTTCTATACATGCAAATCTAATATTTTTTTAAATGTTCAATGAAATCATAATCATTTTTCCTGACTGACATATTACACAGGGCTCAGAATTCACAATTCACAGAGGTCATGGAGGCCGTTGTCTGGTTTACAATGACTTGAAGCCCTTCAAAAAATGATCAAGGATTTTCTTCACCATTTCAAAAGGAATTTATTTTTATGTTTATGTCACAGAAAAATAAATCCTGAATACACATGACAATATAATTTTTAATCTGAATTTCCTAAACATCAGTATGTAATATCTAATTTATAACCTACCAGTACATGTACATGTACCTACATTGTACTTGTATGAAGATACTAGCTTGGCTTGAATGGTATGGTATATTATTTGTTTGCAATTGATTGTATTCTAAGTTATGGTATGTGTATTGATTGATTTGTTAAGTATTAATTCTGACTTAAATATATTTTACACATTTAGAATCTCAGATTATTGCACAGACATGCATGGCAGCAATCAGTGGAGCCATATTTAAAATGGTATCATTGTCAGAAAAGTCAGGAATTCATGTGTGATTTTTCACCCATAAGTACACATATATTTGATTACAGAGCATACATGTATTAGATTTTATTACGATGAATGTGTGATGCCCACATGATTCAAGATATATGAATTATATAAAATGATACATGCCTAAGACACAGGGTTTTGATGACCTGAGTTTAAAACTGAGTATAAGGGGAATGTATCGTTTTATAAATATCTTCTGTCATGACATTAATTTTATTTTATATTACCCTGTCCTGATGACCTTTGTTGATTTCACTATCTACCACACGAGAAATTCTGCTATTGTCAGTATGGGTGCAGATACTTAAAATTACAAATAAACAAAATTCACAGGAATATCTCTTTTCTGGTCAAGTCAAGTACATAGGGCTGGCAGTATAAGGGTTAAACAATTAAAACAAATTCTTCTATTTGAAATGATGTAATTTACTTTTACAAATCTATATGAGATTTAATCACTCAATCTGTTCAATGATTAAATTTTATTTGAATTAAATTAACAAAATGGATAAAGATGAAAATGTCATTATAATCTAATAATTATTAAAAAATGTTTATTTTCATCGTTTTTTGTGTGTGTTAAATCAGATACTTAGTATTTCTTGCTGATTTTATTGTTTTAACTGCAATTAAAGCACCGCACTTTTCGTCATGTTTGATATGGTACACACACAATGTATGCAACGAGCGTAAAGTACAATTTTTTACAGGAAATCATGGAATGTAACAGACTGTGGTTCTTTAAACATTAATTACTGTATTTTGGTACACTAACCTAATAAATTCACTATTCAATCGCAGTTCCGACTTGTTTTACTTTACTCAGTTTTGATCAATAGCAATGAGTGTCCCAATCGTACTAAGATGAATGACTATGAATTACATATCATTTTAAAGCACAAATTTGTAAGAAATTAATTAATTTCTAGTACCCGGCAATTGTTAGTGAATTTTACAACTACATGTACATGTACTTATTTTTCTTGATATATCAAATTGTTATATTCAACGATTCACAGTGTATCTCTCAATTTTAGCAGAGTATTATGATTGATGAATTTGTGAACAATGTGCTTTACAAATTTTGAATTTGTTAGAAACCATAATTTATGGCAATATACAATACTATCATGGTGTAACAATACTGTATTTTCTCTATTTGTAGTGCATCTGCTTGTCTGTAGAGTTAAAATAAGTCATATTTTAATGATGCAACTATGCAATAAATATTTAAAATGTTCTGTATGAAATACGCTTTTAATATCTACCAAGTACAATGTATGGGAGAGAGTTTGTAACATGGATTGATAAAGAGCTGTATTTTCTCTATTAGAAGCGCATCACCAATAAAAACACACAGAAAGCAAAATTATGCACTGTTGTATACAAAATAATTGAAATATGTCTTTTTACCATAGATTCATCTTATTTATGCAAGTACATTGGCTTCTAATAGAGCATATATGGTTGTTAGCACTGTATATAAGGTAACAGTATGCATGCCTATGACTTTGGTTACTGATTGTTTGAACATTTGTTTTTCTTACAATAATGATAGAATGTACTGTATTATATAATTGAAATATTAACCAGGGAAATCTTCATATTTATTTGTTGTAATCAAGTCATCATCTGCCAGTAAATCAACGTATATGACAATGTATACACAAAATGTACATATCGTATTTGCTCTATTTGTACCACATGATCTAAGATAAATTACAGATGGTTAGTTTTGTGGCCAAAAAAATCATATTTTGATGATTTTGCATACAACGGATGCAATTTTCGTTGAAGTGTGCTTTTAGAGATATGCATCTCTAATGGAGCAAATATGGTATTCTGAGAATTATAGAGTACATCAATACATAAACATTGTTTATTTAGCTGGCTATATAAAAAAGCATTTTATCAACAGGAATGACAGTTGTTGCACAAAATAATGAATTAACTAATATCATCAAGTTAGTTTTCAATTTTAGTGAATTTCTCTAACTTGTACAATTTATTTGTTAGTTCTCATGAATTCACTTAAAATGTACATAATTATATAACTTTTTGTTAAACCATTTATTGAGACTGTTAAACAATGTTATGTTGGTATACCAGTATATTTAAACTGTAATGGAATTATAACCTGGTACGATTGGAGTTCTTGTGCCTTAGATGACAGATTTACAAACTAATTAATTTAATGCCAACAATGTCAGGTTAAAATGAACAAACTATCAAGTATGGAGATGTCTCTGGTTGCGAAGTTAATTGTTCTGAGATTTAGATTATATTTTTGTGTGTCTTACAGTGTACATTGATGGATTGATGTATCAATCTGGCGTAGTGAAATCTATTCCTGCTTTTAAAAGAGGGAGTGAAACCCAAATCATAACTCTAATAAATAATATTTCATAAAACTTAAAGTGCCTGTGAAAAGGCTGCTATTTTCTTGCCTAAAATCAGTCATTGGTATATCAATTAAATTTTATGTTTCTAAGCATAAATTATTTTTTTAAGTGAAAAAATGCGTTTTTTTATTTTTGTGAATTTTAAAACGAGGCTCCTCATTTGCATACAGAAATTCCCCTTGTGACGTCAGAAGGGGAACTTGCTGGGCAGCTTGCATTGCCGATACGTGTAAATAAGGCAAATTGTACGTTTTCTCATTTTTCACTAAATTGTCACTTATGTACTTGTTCGTTGAGTACGAATGGACCATAATGAACACATAGTATCAAGTTTGACGCATAGGGTTGAGTTAGATGCGAAATATGTCCTTTCTGGTGTAGCTGGTCACCGTAATTGTTATCGCCACCGGCGCACGTTTGTATACAGTTTGTAAACATTCGAGATCGTAAGAAGTGGAAACACATTTACAGCCTGCGTCAAGCTGCAAATAAAGGTAACAGATGTGTGAATTCAACATTCAACACCAATCACCGAACAATTCAGAAACAATTAGTAGTGTGTAAGGGCTGTGTAATTTCCTATTAGTTTGACACTTCGTTTTCACGTGACTATCAAAATTATTGTGACCTTATACATAACACAAACTAAACAGTCTTTATAAAATGATATTCAGGATCACAAAAAAAGTCAAATAATTTTAAACACATACCCAACGTCAGTCTCCCTTCTGAACTCCGCCTCGATGAACATGGGCTGATACGGAATCTATTTCTTCAAAGGTGTTGGTATTGCACCAGGTTTAAGTTGTTGACACTTCTCCATAAAACCTTGTTGATTTTTCATGGATGAAGACAGTTTTTTGAAAAAAGAATCCGAGGGAAAAGTGAACACTACATATGATGCTGTAAGGAGAAGGTCCATCCCAACCGTTTCTTTTTGCTTTCACAGGTTTCGTTCACTGACGTCGCACCTTTGGATCGATTGGAAACATGTGAATACTTAAACTACATGTATGGCTATACGTATTACCGCACCTGCCCACAACACAACGTTTAACCATCATAACTGTTTGTTGTGAAAACAACTTTTTTGGCATTTGGTGGCGCACTTTCAGCAAGAGTCGAAAATCCGAAAACAGTGGACTGTTTCAGGATAGGTAGGCGTGGCTACAGCCTGAGAAGTATCTCGAATTTACTTGGATAAATCATTTTCAGCAAAAAAATCAATAACTGCCAATTTCAGTGACACACAGATCTAAAATGGAAAATGTGTGGGTAGGCATTTCACAGGCACTTTAAAAGAAAACATACAATTTTCTAGCAAACTGGAACAATTAGAGAGACTCAAATTTAAAAATTGGTAATTAGGGTACAGTCAAACATGTCTATAGTGGCCACCCAGGGGACTT